TTTTAAATGTTAAATTTTAGACTGGGTTCAGTGTGGCAGCAACGTTAAGAGTATACACCTGATGATGGCCGATAGAGGCCGAAACATGTAGTGTAGAAGAGAACAAGATCAAAGACATATAATATATATTGTTTGCACTTGGGACGGAGTTTGTATCATTTATCGTATAGAGTGCAACAGGATGCTTAAATATAATAGTGTTGAATATATTATTAAAAATTTTTTTTAAATGTTTAAAAAATATTAAAGAATTTTTTCGTGGGGTAGGTTAAGAATGTGTATGCCAACTTAAATATAGGATTCTACTGCTACAGTGTAGCAAACTGGGCACGTGTGTTGTTTGTAGGTCTTTGCTGTACAGGCTTCTACACTGTAGCATAATTAAGTTGGCATACATATTATTAACCTACCATATGGAAAAAAAATCCTTTAATATTTTTTAAACATTTTTTAAAATACTTTTAATATTTTTAATAATATAGTCAACACATTATAAATCTTGATATATGGTATAACTTTATATTTATCTTTTATCTTATTTATGTATTTGCTACTTTAATTGTAACACTAACCTGAGGCAAAAGTTTTATGTTAGTATATAATATGACACGTTGCACTGATGTGGATCCGTTTCGGTAGTTCAGTAACTCTACGTATTCCTACATACGTATAGCTGCCTGATGATGGTCCTGTGCGGCCGAAACATGTAGCAGGAATAAAAACCGAAATTAAAACTGAGTATATTTGTTGTGTTGACGGTGATATAATTCCTACATATATATTTAGAAAATTTGGGAGCCTCGACGTCTCACAACGCTATGGGCCTCCACGGCCTGTTACAGGGATAGCTTTACTTAACCTCACCGCCATATGTGAGCAGATTGTCTAGAAAATGGAGCCTCGACGTCTCACAGCCCTATGGGCCTTCACGGCCTGTTACAGAGCTAGCTTTACTTAACCTCACTTCCATCTGTGAGCCGATTATCTAGATAATGTGGGAGCTTCGACGTCTCACAACCCTATGGGCCTCCACGGCCTGTTACAGGGACAGCTTTACATAACCCCACAGCCATCTGTGAGCCGATAGTCTAGAAAATGTGGGAGCCTCGACGTCTCACAACCCTATGGGCCTCCACGGCCTGTTACAAGGATAGCTTTACTTTTACTTTATATTTTACCTTTAAAATATTTGCCCGATGTATATTTATATCGTTATGAAATTGAATGCTGTTTGCAACGTAACGTCGAGTGCTCGAGACTCATTGAGAAGGCCAAGGGTTACTTCGTATATTAAAACTTCTGACTCCGCTGAATTCTGTCATATTTAAGAGTGCATTTCGCATTTGTAACAGACAGAAGGATGTCACGTGACCGCTGGATATTGCGTGGATCCCACACCGTGTCTGTTTCAATCCGTAATTAAATTCAGAATTAATAAAATATTTTGAAACACGAATTTATTAAAGCTTTACCACGGCCTTACAAGGCAAACTTTTAATTGGCTTCGTCTCAGGAAGTCTTCGCCGACGATGTACCGTCTTTGACAGGCCGCAGTCCTACCGCAGATATTTCATTTCGCGTCAGTTTCACGTAATGTCAAGTCTCTCTCCGCTACTTCTGTTTACTTTATATACAAAACAAACAGCTCCATGAGATGTATCTTAATGCAATAATATAGTATATATATACATATTGTGTTGACATTAGAGTGCTCGGAATTTATGTACGTAACAAGAAAAAACAGATTTATTTAAATGGTGTTGGATTTGAAGTTTTCACGGCGACGGTTGTAAGGCCGTGCAGTTCAGAGCCAGACGTTTCGGAGTAAAATATTGCCTCTATCTTCGGGATCGAAGAGTAAGTCATCCAAGAAATCATCATTAAGAAGGCGGCAACTAGCAAGCTTGATGCTTGATCCTCGCCTGTTGTTTGGCTTATTTTTACACTCTTAAGAGATGGGAAGCTATACGTTCTCCCGAAACGTCGGTGGATCTCTACTAAACTACATGGGCTTAAAACACACAAGGTTATACTGTTCTTATTTAAAGAACCTGTGGTCAACCAAAGGATCGAAGAGGGATGAAGTGACAGGAGGTTACAGAAAACTGCATAATGAGGAGCTTCATAACTTGTACTCTTCTCCAGGTATAATTAGAATGATCAAGTCAAGGAGGATGAGATGGGCAGGGCATGTAGCACGAATGGGTCGAAGAGGAATGCATATATTATATTAGTGGGAACTACATAAAGAAAAAGATAATATTAGGAAGCCATAGACGTAGGTGGGTGGATAATATTAAAATGGATCTTAGGATGGGATGGGATCGATCTGGCTCAGGATAGGTACAAGGTAACAAACCTTCGGATTCCATAAAATGTTGAGAAGTTCTTGAGCAGCTGCACAACTGGCAGCTTCTCAAGAAGGGCTCAGCTCCATAAGTGAGTGAGTAGCCAACAAAACGCAGGATCAAAGAAGACCAGACATTAATTAAAATGAGCACAGTGGCTGAGCATTTTTCCTGATTTAAAGTTTTATCGCTACTATGCATTGTTATATGGTTAAGGAAATGAAATATATCCCGGACGAAGAACGGGTACACCTGCCTGTTTGTAGGTAGACAGTTAACAAACTGACAGACCTGCTGACTGTCGAGGCAAAATGAAGTCACAGTTCTGTACTCACTTTCATAATCGCTGTAAGATGGCGCGCTGGTCACGAAGTCTGCGGCCAGTATTAAGAAGCATAGCGCGACCGTGCAACACTTGAGAGTGGGAAAACCCTGCATGATGCTTCTGCAACAATAGAAACACGACTTATTGTTGTATGACGATAAAGTACCTATTATTATGTGATCGATTTGCCGATGCTCTTCTGTCGATATCCGCTTGGGTAGAAGCGCGATGCTCTTTTGTTGTTTGTGCCACTCGTCACAGTTGTAGAACCCGTATGGGAGCGGGTTCGAATACGTCCACCGTAGCCCTGCAAGTCTTATGGGACAACAAAAAGGGATTCCAGTGCCTGGGGCCACCCTGTTCCTGGGAGATATAAATATGAGGACCTGGTCTTCGAGTTTGAGGGAATCTCAAATCTGAGAGAGTAAAATATTGTGGCGTGCCGCCTAGAAGCCAGAATATCTGAGTCAGCGCGGGCGTCCATTGTTAGGCAACGGCTCGGCATCCACGGTTCCGAATCATTGTCTGGGTGACAATTAAACATGTTCACGCGACAACGCACCCAGAACAGACCCTTACGACGGAAATGAAAACCAGAATTAGTGAGGTTCCCGCGGTAACGAATGCACGAGTTACCGGTGTATAGAACACACGAAACGTAGCCCTCGAACAAGGTGGCTTCTAGGCCGTCCGACTGAAGAATATAACAGAGAGAACTACGGAAGAGAGGAGAACAGAGCACAGGACAGAAGAGGCGAACGGAGGAGAGCGGAGAGCGGAAGACACCAGCTCAGCTAAGAACCAGAAGACGACGGACTAGCCAGGTCGCATGGTCTGGAAGGCGTTACTTCTGAGGGACTGTAATTGTAACTGTAAACAACTTACCAAGTAAACAGCTTCGCTTAATCCGGAACCCACTAATTTCTTGTCGCGTTACCAGGATACGTGTCAAACTGGTGTCAAAAGTGGGATGAACGTGATAGTATGGTTATTAGTCCCGCGGGACTCGGCCCCGAGAATGACTGCGCGGGCGAGGGCCAACAGCAATTGTAAACGACAAACCCATCCTGCCGTGAGAGAGGATGTTACACGAGGACTATGGCCGCTAGGGTTTTTTTAACTCTTGTCGTGAGTCTCAAGGTGCTTGACGCCGAGATGAACTGATTGGCGGTAAACCACCAGTCGCAAAGTAACTCTGACTCTGACTCTTGAATATTCTCTCCGGACAGTACTGACATGAGCACAGAAGTTGAATAATCTCAATTGTTAGAAGCCGTTACCAGGAAACATCTAGTAACAGACTGAGGACACCAGCAGGTTCTGGAGTGAATTATAAAGTGTGTGGATTGTCGATGACACTGTAAGTAAGTGTAGTCACGAGTCTTGTGTTAATGCGGTCAATAAATCGAGTCACTAATCCAAACTCCGTCTTTAGTCATACACATGTATGCGACAATTATGTCCAAGTATTTGTCCGAGCAGTTTGGCATATCGGTAAAGCTTTACACCTGCAGACCGGAGTTTTCTTCGGAATTACTCGGTTTTGGGCTTTGTCCAACGTCCGGTATACTAGAAACTAGAAAATGCAGCGTTTCGGAAACTGGATCTGTTTCTGTCCTCAGGTGAGAGGGAGGGGCAAGACACCCACCCAGTTGCGTCCCTTAGAAAGGGCTAACCTCAATCACTTGGAGTTTTCTTGTTTCGAATTTGACTCCTGACTGAGGTTTATCGTTGCTTATCTCAGTCCATCCATCTAAATGGTACTTTGATTCGGTCGTGATAGCTTCCTTCCAAATCCTTTTCTATTCATTATTTATCAGTCAGTTTTGTCATTCTGCGCCATACATCCTGAGAACCAGGGAAGAGAACAATTCATGCTACTGAGTACAACTGTAAGCTCATGAATGCTGTTTTGTGGGGCGCTAATGCAGTTACTGTCGGAAAGTTACTTGGCGCATATCCATACGCGCTGATCANTAGTTGTTCTCAGTGCGCATGACAGACTTACGGGCCATCTAACTTTGCATTCTTGGTTTTACCGCGGATTCTAAATGTGTAAGTAGAAGGTAAAGCTATCCATGTAACAGGCCGTAGAGTCCCATACGGCTGTGAGACGTCGAGGCTCCATTTTCTAGACAATCTGTTCACATATGGCCATGAGGTCAGCCATACGATCCTGCCGCCCTTTACCCCCAGGAAGATCCCTGGTACTCATTTCTGTTAGAGGCTGAGTCGATCCTAGGGCCATAGTGCGGCTGGAAGGATTAGATAAATTGAAAAAATCCAATGACCTCATCGGGACTTGAACCCGCGACCTCTCGGCTTGTAGCATAGTGACCCAACCGACTAAGCTACCGCGTGCCCCCCTTGTAGCATGGTGCCCCAACCAACTAAACTACCGCGTGGCCCCTTGTAGTATGGTGCCCCAACCAACTAAGCTACCTCCTCCCCCCGGAAGTGTTTGAGTAAGGGAGCATGATGGATGGACACTGGAAAGTGCAGGTTATCTGAGGAGTTTGTTTCCTGCATTTTGTTTGGCTTACTCCTCGAACGTAAAATGGAGGTAATAAATTATGTTGAAAAGTCGGTGATCTTTTATCAGAGTACATAAAGTCACATCCCAGAAGTCAGTGCTCTTCTCTCTCAAGGGCTTTCACTAGGGAAGTTGTAACAAAACGTGTTTTCAAAACTGTCTTGTTCTCTGTTGGAGGAGCAAGAGTAGGATATGTTAATTCTTTAGAGTATGAAAAGAAGAAGAGAGAAGAAAATGGGAGAGAATAGAAGGGGACAGTAGAGAGACAAATTACATTTTTTGGGGGAGTGGGAGAAAGGGGACCGGAAAATTATTGCTGTTTCGAAGGTACCCAGACGGCACTCTCCCTACACGTACCCACTGTGCCCGAAGTGGTACTGCACTGCGTTCGTTGGCTGCATTTGGAACTGGTCGCATTGGCCTAGCTGTCTCAGACGTTTATAGTGCTAGAATGGCGCCTTCGAGTCCCGCTTGGTGCAAGAATATTACGGTGTTCTATGATGCGTTAATTTCAAGTTCTATAAAGTTTGTGTTTATTGGTCGATTAACTAATTCTGCTGTTTGAAATACAACTAGCTACAGCAAAAAGTGGGGCGAGAATATTATGATATGTATACCCGTTACTAGGCAAGGACCGCGAAATAAGCAGTCATACAACAGCCATTGCTAGGAAACAGTCTATATGGCACAGGAAGGGTCGTTGCGCGGACTTCATAGAAAACAGTCTATTGTTGAGGCTTGTTTACCGAGCTGTTGCTTAGTAGTGGCAATACACGTGACAAAATTAATGAGCTATTCTATAAATAACAGTTCAAGATAAATCCGGACCCCTTCTGCGTTCTCCGAGGATCGACTTCTGCGCATATAAGACAAACCTGAGTGTCTCATGTTCCCGGTTCCAGACTGTTCCCGCTTTCACGCATGTGAGCTTCATTCGAATGCCTGAAGCAAAATCAGGTGACGCCCAGTAAATAAGTACGTATTCAAACAGCGTGGTGAAGGTTAAATGTTCAATATCATGACCTAAAACAGGCGCTTATGTTACACCATTTTTGGTTGTCATGTCTCATCATGCAATATTTGAATATCTTTACACTCTTATAAGATCATACAGTATTTAATGCGGGCGAAGAAAATCAATGAAATGATAGCCATGGGTGTCAGTTGGCATGCTCAGTTGTCAGTAATAGCATAGAATGATTTGACTACATCGTCCAGTATGATTCAAACATATACATACATAAATATATTGTGACGTGACGGCGCAACGCTCGGTAAACATCCCTCTCCAGCAGTGACGTAACAGTATCGGAGTAATTGCCGCCGCTACGGTAACAGGCCAGTCAACACTCCGTCCCCTTCCCGCGCGGTGACGTAACAGCACTTCTCATTGTTACGTAACAGCGGACACCACGGTTACTACGCAGCAATAAACAACTTTCGGCAGCGCTACCCAGCAACGCCTGTAAACACGGCGTTTATGCAACAGTGAAGCGATTTGGGTTTTCCGCTGTCCAACTGAGGGTTTATGAGAGAAACTAGATAGGGAGTAACCAGTTTACTAACACAGACTATGACTAACAAATGACAGACCCGACCTCTCGTCAGAGAGGGCGCCCCAAATGAACAGGACAGTAAATTTCATATAAAAAAATTTGGTCATGAGCCCCAGTCGGGGCTCGACTCCAAGACAGACAGACTGACTGACCGTCAGTCGCAATGTGACTTTGACTTTGACTTGAGTAACCAGTCAGTTTCAGTCTAGCATTCGCCGGAGTGACTTGAAGTCCATTTTTATTTAGTGAATGGCAGTGACTCCAGCAGAAGACGTAATTGTGATACTGCCGATGGCAGTAGCTGTGAAATTGTGAAGTGTGTGAGTGTGAGAGCGAGGGGAATAAATTCGCTAAATTCAATACGACGTGAAGTTATTTGTCGCGTGACACACACCCAGCACGTGACAATATATATTGTGACATGCTGCCTGAAAGCCGGACTGTGGAGAATATTTCAGCGTTCGTTGCTGGTCAGCGGATAACATTTCTTAGACAGCGGAATAGAATGAAGCCTTGGAATTCTAATAGTGAATTTACACGATTACAACGAATTGTTCGAAGCCTTGTATGACAACGGAAAAACCAAAGTGTTGAGAAAGGTGTTCCATAAACATTCCGCTAAAGGCCAATTTAAGGGAGTTGACACTGCGAGTCGTAAGAGGCGACGAAAAGGGAAGTCTCAAATTTGAGACAGTAATATATGGTCTCGAGTACCAAGGATTTCGGACCCAAGAAAGACTGAGCTGGCAAGGCCCAGCAGCATATACAAAAGACAGACCCGTCCTCTCGTCAGAGAGTGCGTCCACAAAAAACAAGACCGTAACTGGCAAAGAGTAATAAAATCTGGTCACAAGCCCCAGACGGGTGCTTTATGCCAAAGCAGACTGGACGACTGACCGTCGGTCGTAAAATGAGACAGACTCAGACAATTAGTCAGTTCTCGGAGAGACTTCAGGTGGGACAAAATTTCGCCCTAATATAGCCCTCCAAACATTAGCTAATGAATGTTACTCTAATGCACCTCAGACAGT